TTTAGACGAAAAATATATGCAAAGGATAGAGCGAGTGATTCTAAGAAACTTATCTTCTCTGTACTTCAACCGCAACTAAAAGATAATGAAGTTATTAGGCACGCAAGTGTCTCAGAGCCCGTTATGAAAAACTAACCCAAGATTTAAAAAATTGCCATCCAATATCCTTTCCTTTCTTTTGTAAACAAAACAATGATGCCATTTAATTTTTGTACATATATTCTAATCACTGAATTTCGTGCGTAGGTAAAGCCCACATAATGGTACATGAAAGAGATTTTGTTTCTATTTCAAAATTTATGACAATACACCAGTAATACTCACATGATATTGAATATTTATAATAACAAATAAATTTCTTACACTCCACAAATCAATGTGTTAGATCCATATTACAGGTAAGAGGAGCTTGAAGAATTGTGCGGTATTTTTAAAATTATGTACTCTTACATACATACACAGAATCAGTCATTATATTGTCTAATGCAGGTGTCTGTTTACCTTCAAATCCTCCCCATGGGGGCTGCCACCCCCAACCTACACCCTGGGAAACAAATAATCCTCCTGTACCCCTCTTGATTAGCACCATGTCAACTATCAAAATTTTGTTTTAGAAAATATTTGACACCTTCAGTTTTGAGGGAACTTTTTTGATTTGTCGCACTAAAAAGAATAAATTGAGCAGGAGATTGGATTGGCCACTGTATTGCTGCCAAAATTGCCAGTACCAAGCATAAAGCTAATTACTAACACTGTGATGATCCATCTTCCAAAGTGACACGATGTTGATCCAAAATATAAGTATATATAAAATTGAACATACCCAATGTTACACGGAGCACAGAAGTTGGATGGTCCTGCCCTAGCAAAAGTCCAAGGATGTGGTTGGCAGTGTGTATTGTTCCAATATGGGAAGCAATTGATGTAAGTAGTCAGTAATGTTAAATAGTTAAAAATGAATAATAGAAATGATAAATAGAAAGGAAATAAAAAGTCATGTAGATTGGAGAGAGCACCAAAACAAAAAGAGAAGCATCCAAAAACGAGAGGAAAGGTAATGAGAAATATGAGATGAAATGAGGAAAAAGCGACTAATTAGAAAGGGTTTCCATGCTTATTGTAATATGTCCACAGAAAATGTGACATTTATAGAAAACTGACCCATAAAAGATACAATATTAAGAACAATGGTTGTGCGAGTGTTTTGTGGTCTTCATCTCTGGGCTCTGATATGCATTGGATATTTCCGTCATTTTGCAGTGAATATGAGGTTGCAGCCGCTGTACCTGTGTTGTTTATGACTATATCTTATACTCTGGTATCCACTTTTTTATTATCAACTTGCAAAGGAAATGTAGTAGATGTAAATTGTCTTATTTTTTGTCACTCAATTACTTACTTGCTTGGCTATTTTGATGGGTGTGCATCTTGTAGGTTAGACACATGTGTTATTTTCCCTTTTTTTCTGCATTTTCAGCATTTTTGTCATTTTCCAATGGTAATAGACTGTTTTCCTTGCATCCTTATCATCTTTCTAGGTAGTCCATAACACTGCAAGAATAATGACAATAAGTAACATTTTGGTATTTGTCATTTATTAATTAATTTATTTATTTTATTATATTTTGAAATTTATTTATTTATTTATTTATTTTTGTAATATTCAATTTTCTGTAATGCAACTGTTGACGCCGGTCACGGCGGCCAGGAATAGGCTTCTGAGCATGGAAATAGTGTTCTCCTTTTAGCCAGCACTCTTCCAGTCATGGCTCATAGAGTACATTTTACATCCCAGCCTACAGGTAGATTTTCCCAATATATAATATTCATGTAACCTGCCCCTCAAGCCAAATTTTTTCATTTGGTTACATCATCTGTATCATAGGGATTAATTTTTGGGTTATTCTTGTGAAGAGGTTGTACCAAGATAGAGAAAATCCAGCTTTTCCTCTAGTAATTTGTCATATTCTTTAATTTTATATCCTATCTAGTACCTACATGTTATGGGTCACTAAGTTTGTCTGTTGTGCAGACTAGGTTTTTCTTCTTATATTTTTGGGTGATAGATTTTTTACTCCTGGCTTTTTATAGTCCAGTTGGAATATACATACGGGATGTTTGTTTTCATTTACCAGAGTCTTAACATGCTGAGGCCATTGTATTGCTCTGTGCAGTCAAAATCTGAACAGATACTTAAAATGTCAATTTTTGGATACATAAATTTGTGTATTAGAATATCTGTGAAGGAGCAATAGTGATATGAAATAAGTGTGTTGCATTTTAGTTCCCAATTCTGTCACAAAATTTATTCAACAATTGTGATAGTTTCAATTTACTACAGCCACGCAGTACAAGGTAAAATTTGCCTGTAATCAATAGAATGTCGAAAAATAAGACTTCTCATTTATTAATACCATTTATGGCATTACCTTCAGAAGTTGATATACTTATATGTTATTTGATATACTTTTACAGGAAAACTTTTACAGGAAAATATGATAACACATAATCAAAGAGGAAAAAAACACATCCTTATGCATGAAATAATCTGTAGGCAAAAGATAAAATCCGAGAGCAAGTCCGCGATGATCAGTTGGGGGTCCGGGGACAGAACTCCTAGCAGGAAAATCTGAAAGGGGTCTGGGGACAAAGTCTTGGGGTCAGGGAGGTATTTTGTTCATAAGGTGATATTTGTGGATTTCTCAGTGGTTAGAGTAATTGATACTTAGTCTCAAAGGGGTGTGGTAAACATTACCAATACTTTCATTTATATCATATGCTTTGGAAAATAAGATGATGTTCATGCAAATTACAGTGTTGGTAATAGAAAAAATGATAATTGCAAGATTGAATGGCTGTATGAAACCTGAAGATTACCCAGCAATCTAAGTTCCTGTGATTGGGTGTGCCAGGGAGAAGGGTTGATGGGGTACCCCCTGATACCCCCTAACAAACGTTGTTGGTATGCATGACAAGGTAGAGCTAAAACTCAGCAGTACTAAGTGGACTTAGGCTGTGAGTAGTGCTTTTTGCAATATTTTCCCTTCATTTTGGGGTTGCAGCACATGGTGTCTGCAGATTATTTTTTGATGCTGTAAAGATTAACTTTTTTATGTGGCAGGAAGCCAATCCCAGCATAGTATACTAATATAGAATCAGTCACTGCTGCATAAATTAATATATTCACAAAATCAGATGGTAGAGTATCCATTATAACTCAGAAGACCACCACCATGTATATTGTGGCAAGATATGATTTATATGGCCATATAAAGAATTAGTTCAAGCTTCTCTTACCAAGTGTATATAGGTATTGGAAGTACATTGGCATTTGCTAGAATTCAACATATGGAAAAAACATATTTTGATTTCACATTCTTGACAATCCTTGGTACTGTAATTGTTCAATCTAAGCCTGCATAAAAGGACACTGAGAGCAATGTTTTGTCCTTTGGGAAAAGCCAGCAAATCTCTTACATGCATATTTGGCAGGCTGGAGCTTGAGCTGATCAGTAAGCTTTATCTTGTTCAATAAGCTTTTATCTTCTCAGGATATATCTGATGGTGGTTTGACTGTCTACCATAGTACAGTAACTGTAGCATCATTAGGAATAACTATGTGAGAATGATTAATGAACTTCATTGTGTGACTCTGCCCTTGCCTTTATTTCCTGCATGGTTTTCATAACTTTTGTTATCAGTTTACGCATTCTAGTTGCAATTACTTTAATTTTACTCAATCTTTACAATTCTATCCTGAACATTTACCCAGCCTTTTGTGTGTGAAATGGGGGATAAAAAGGATAGCATGAAAAAAATCATCAGGTATTGATATTCTTATTGCTTTTCTATTATATGATGCATAACAATAGAATAAATAGTTCTTGAATGTAAGACCACATCCACCTGAATTGAAGTTCCTGTTATACCAGCAAGATTGGGAGCATTCCTGGGAATCAAGGCAAAACATGCATAAAAGACAAGTTAAATTGTAAAACTTTTGTACGAGTTAACAATTTTTCAAGTGAAAGTTGAATAGTCAAAATATGTGCTGTTTTAGTAATTTATTATTTTAAATGTTTCCTGATGTTGTGCATATGATTCTAACAGATATTTTTCAGTTGCTTCCTGTTTCTAAGGTAATTTATATAACCAGATATAACCTAAATGTGAGTCAGGCCTTTACATTATCCCCAAGTCACTTTTGGTTTCCCCAGCCCAGACCCATCTATTACGTTGAAAATGTTTTATATATCCTAAACCTAACATATTAATCCATTCATGCTTGGTGACATGTTATAATGTCATAGCAAATTTTTAATTGATGTTGGATGACATCTAAGTACACCATGTGCCAGACCATGAACCAATTAGATAAATAAGCCTAGAGTAATGTATAATTACTTTATTCATAAATTTACTTGTCGTTAACCTAATAACAATGGGTTTCCCATATATGAGACACACGAAAAAATAAACAATTGCTGGGTGTCCCACCAGTGTGACGCTCTGTCGAGACTCGCGCTCTGACACAGCAGTGGGCCGTGGCCGGCGCACAGTCAGAGTCCGGGCCAGCCCTCCGTGCCAATTTTGTAGCTGCCTGGAACCTTTTATTTTCGGCTTCAAAATATACCGGCGGTAATGGGTTAATGAGTTAATCTCCAGGCAAGAAAGGCTTCTCTTGTCCCTCCCTGATCCTCCTGCACCTTTCTAGAATGTTTTATATGAAGCAAACCTAAACTTAGACTATTTATTATATATCTGTTAAAGAGGACTCCCCTCTCATTCTAAGGATGGTGTTGTGCTTAGTGATCACACTTCTTGGTTTTGAAAAAATTAGATATGAAAACACACAAGCGTGAGTTAGAAAACTACCAAGTACTTTTATTGTGAACTAATCTTGCAAATTCATCTTTATTTAAACTAGTCTCTTGCGGACATACTATTTGAGTCATACTTGGTGACGTGTTCTTTTATTGTAAACTAATTTTGCAAATTCATTTTTATTGTAAACTAGTCTCTTGCAAAATCCTTGAAAAATGTTTAATTTCTTACTGTACATTTATATTTTGATATGAAAACAAATCTTTCTGAGATTGATATATATTTTTATGATGAAAGATGGGCTTGACCTTCCTCCTCTTCATCTTCACACATTTTTTTACCCATTGGCAATAGGGCATATTCCCTGTCCACTGGAGGTTTTGTTTTGTCAATTTTGTTAATGCATAGGTGGCATCACAACCATAAACACCCATGTTTAACCCATGCTGCTAATATTTGTAAAGCAAAGTTTTTATTATTGCTAAGATTATTAACATTATCTTTATCTTTATAGTGTTGTTAACAATGATAGTTGATAATACATTACTTCACAAATTCAATGATTAGTATAAACTGGTGTCAGAGGAGGCAAGTAATAAACTCCTTGGCTACTAAGCACTTTTGTGGAGCCATCTGTGTAAACAAAGTAATAAAATCAAATCACAGCAGATGTGCTATGTATACATGCTTTTGTGGTGTCATTGAGTTGATATGTTCCAGAAAATATTATCAGATATTTATATGCTTGATACATATGATTATATGCATAATGATATAGTTGATTATATGTTCAATATAATTCTGGTTGTTTCAGTAACATTTATTGTTTAGGTGTACCCTTCTAATATGTATAAGAATTGAAATACATTAGACAAATTTTCAGCTTGTATTAAAGCACTGATTGTTTGAGGTGTATATATTTTTGTATTTTCATCAGGATTTCAATATATAAGGGAGGTCATGCTTCTTAATTCAAGTACTTTTCTATTTATTATTTGGAGGATCTTATCCTATGATAGGAACTGGCAAAGGTTGAGGCCATCTCAAAGATATCTGTAGTTATGAAAAAAATACTCTTTTTCTTTCATAGGAGCGATGAAGTCGAGGTGGCAGAGAAAAGCAGTATTAGCACTGCTAGTTCTTGGCCTGCTGTTACCTTTTGGTATTAAAGCAGATGACGACGACGATGAAGAAGCTCTTGTCACAGAAGAGCAAACAGTAAGTTATTGATATCTTGAACAATTGTGGATTTAAGAATGCAAAAAAAAAGATATATCAATACATTGGTTTTAGATGATATATGGTGATTTATGGGTAGAGATTATGATTTCAGATAGTGGATAACCTACTTCTGTACTTTCATTGATGAGCAGGGTCTTCAAAAATCAATAAGCATATGTGGGGTACTCTTCATCTTCATCTTTTAGTTTTTCTTCAATAATGATAAGGTTTCCACTAGTAGAATGTACATTGAGATTTCATCTCCTGTATGAAATTCAGTATTGATGTACTCAGACAAAAACAGATTAGAACATATTTTTGTACTAAGCAGTACAAAAGAAATGGTTGAGTACAAAGTCAGGATGGGACTTGGACACAGCTTGAGGGCTTCAGGGGCTTCTTCCTGCTAAGCTGTGCGGAAGTAAGGGGAGAAGCAAGCCTAATGCATTGATTCATATATAGTGGAAATACTTTATTGTAGGTTCCCTTTGTTTATTATTATTGAAGGTGCTCATTGGGATAGGTTATTTTTTAAGATTTAGAAGTTTCTGAAATAATCATATAATGGAAATTATTTTATGGTTTTGTAGGAAATGAGTATTTCTTGTGGGATAGATATATACATTTAGATATTAACATATTCTTTTAGAAGACAATATGTATGTTCCTTTAGGAGGCAACCTCTGAACAGCAGTATATATATACATTTAAGTTAGATGAAAATTTATATTGTTTAATTTAGAGGTGACTGTGAATTGATTAGATGATTTTAATTGTTTGTTCTGTTAGAATACATATACATTAAATAGCCACACACCAAAGACTTTTTATGTTTGCCAAGGAATGATCCAGCTGTGCCCTTGCAAGTCTGGCAAGGTATTTCGTCATCCTAGCAACCTAACAAATGCTAAAATGATTACGGTACAGTGTTGCCAAACCAGGGAAAATTTATGTATTTGCTCAGGAGTAGTGCATTCTAATAATTCATGTGTTAACTATATATTTTGTATACTTTATTTTAAACCCTGTTTCTTGCCTTAGGAGATGTGATTTTAATGTATCAGCATTTTGAAGCTTCTGAATAATAGTTATGATTTCCTTTTCCTTTATCTTGGTCAGACAATCTAGAATGCCTGTTATGAATTATTTTGAACAGCTGTGTTGGATAATGTTTTTTCTTATTCCTTGTTAGGAAGGAGAGGAAGAGGATGTAGAGGAGGTTGTGTATGCAACACCCAAGGCACTACCAAATGCATATCTGACAGAAACATTTGATGACCTAACTGCCTTTGAGAAGACATGGATCAAATCTGAAGCCAAGAAGGATGGTGTTGATGAAAACATTGCTAAATATGATGGTCAGTTCAAACCTTGATACAATTATGTCATGTATAATTATTTAATTTTTGTAAGATAGTTTTGTATCTTGCTTAACTTGACTATATGAATTTAAAATGTTTATTGATACAAGCCTTTTGTTTTTTGTGTTTGTCATATATTCATATAATATATTAGATACAAGCAAACAGTAATATAAATAAGAATTATATAGATATACTTTGGTGAGTCTTTTGGAAGCTGCCATAGGTATGATACTGGTTTCCCACATTCATACTTCATTATCCTGTGATTTTATTATATGATTGCTTTCGAGTTTCTTTTAAATTCATATGGTTTTACAGCTTGAAAATTCATGAACACCAGGAATATGTGATGTAGTGTTGGATAATTATTTTTTTTCTTGTACCTTGTACAGGTGTTTGGGCAGTAGAACCTGCTGAGCGATTGGCCCTCACTGGCGATCGTGGGTTGGTTTTGAAGTCAAAGGCAAAACATGCAGCAATTGCAGCACCACTAAAGAAACCATTTGTATTCAGTAACAAGCCTTTTGTGGTTCAGTATGAAGTTAATTTACAGAATGGTCAAGAATGTGGTGGAGCATATCTCAAAGTAAGAACTTTGGGAACTAGATTTTTTTTTGTGATTATAATTACACATAACAGTTTAAAAGCATTGAAGTGTTTTTTTGATCTAACCACTTCCTTACAAATTTTAACAGCTAATCAGTGCCCAAAAAGGACGTGTGGATCTGAAAAATTTCCATGACAAAACGCCTTACACTATTATGTTTGGACCAGACAAATGTGGAAATGACTTCAAGTTGCATTTCATCTTCAGGCATGTTAATCCTCTTACTGAAGAAATTGAAGAAAAACACGCTAAGGTAAGTATTAATCATACCAGTTTACTTTTGATCATTAGTTGTGTACCTTATTTATACAAGATCTGTTTTATGATGGATTGATTTTCACTAAGATTAATGGATAAATTTATATTTGTCTTAGCATTTTATATTGGTTTTCTGTGTGAAAATGTTTGTCCTTGTGATAAGATTAACTGTTATGATCAGATTTTTATAACAGCTTTGGAACAGAACTTGTCTTTTAAAAAATATACATTTTTAAAATTCTGTATTCTGTCTTTTGCAGAGACCACGTGACAAGATTGAGGAACCATTTAAGGACAAGAAGTCTCATTTGTACACATTAGTAATTCGACCAGACAACACATTTGAAATAAGCCTGGATCATGAGGTAAGAAGATAAGAGATTTACTTTTACAGAAAATAATTGATATTTCATTTATCAGGTCAGTTTTAAGTATTCAAGTATTTGATGAAATGTATTTGAAATGAAGGTTTTAGGAATAGAGTTTTAGGCTTAGTAAAAAGTTATGATAAAGTAGGATTGAATTTGTTTTTTTCTCCATTGCTTGAATGTGAAAAATGTCAGAAAAAGTGATGTCCTGTCATGTCTTGGCAGACCACCATTTATGCCTAAGTGGCATCTTCATGTCATGCACAGTCAGACCTGCTCTAAGTTGTACATACTAAACAGTTGTGTGCTTATTTGACTCTGACTGTGGTCATTGAGGAGAGAGAGTGCAAAAGTAGGCTTAAAGCCACTCTTAGCCTCTTTAACTAAACTTTCATTATGCCTAGGGCATAGAGAATGAGGTAAGCATGTGTTCTGTGCTTCTAATTTTTATCTTGACCAGCTAATTCTGCATGCACCCTAACATGTCTTTTGGGGGCTCCTGTCATTAGTGAGATAAAGAAAAAAAAAAAAATTGGTTTTCCAATGAATTTTTTTAAGTGAATGGAAAAAGACTGTGCTGGCTATCTACTAACTCGATGTGAGTCAAATCAGTTTTTATAAGCCATATATTGAGAGAATGAATGTTTTTCCAAGTATTCTTCGAAGGTAACTTTGAATATAAGGAACCCAGAAAAAGGGAATGGTCTAGGAAGAATCTGATGTATTAAGAAATATAAGGATTTATGATTAAAAATTTAGGATTGATAGAATATTTAAAGTTGAGTGTAATGAAAATTAAGAAATAATTTTGGGGAATAAAATTTGGTATGATATGTGATAGAATGAATCATGAGATATATATTTAGGTTGACTTTGCTTTTGTTGTAAGAAACTGATTTGCAAAAATTACGAACCTGCAAGTTTATTTTTTTTGCACTGTGTAAGTAAAATTATACATAACAAACTGGATAAGACATGCATAGTACATTTTGATGTAGTAAGGCAAAGTAATATGTAGTATCCCAAGTCATTTTAGACGTAGTATGTACTAAAATTGGGTGTATGATTTATCCGAAATTTTGGTTTTGACCTGCTGGATTAGTCATTTTGACAGTTGTTTTTGTTACTGTAGTAATGGATATGTATATAAGCAATTGTAAGTGACATTACAAATACTCAAAATGTTCAAAATTCTAATATAAAGCACATTTTGATAAAGGTTGAGTTACAGCCTTTATACTTTTCTCATTTACTCATTGGAAATTGCACCTACCATAGTTGCCATATTTCATAAGAAATTTGCATAATACTAGATTTCTTATAACTCAAATACCCATTTGTCAAATCATGGCAGGTAATCAATTCAGGAAGTCTTCTGGAGGACTTCACCCCATCTGTCAACCCACCCAAAGAAATTGATGATCCTGAAGACTTTATGCCAGAAGACTGGGATGAAAGAGAAAAGATTCCAGATCCTGAAGCCACAAAGCCTAATGACTGGGATGAGGATGCTCCCATGCAGATCCCTGATCCAGTGGCTGAGAAACCCAGTGGATGGCTGGATGAAGAACCAGAAATGGTGCCAGATCCCACTGCTGAGAAACCCGATGACTGGTGAGTTCACAGAAATCTCATTTGAAATTTGAAAATGGAAAGAAAAATGTTGAGATTAAGTGTAGCTGTTGACTATTGTAGATTATGTTGGTAATTAAGCCTTGATGGAATATGTAAAAAGCAGGATACCATCCCCCCCCCCCCCATAAACAAAGTATCTATAGTTAGTAAAGAGTGGGGAAATTGATGTTTAGGGTTTTGAAAAGGTTTACAAAAATAGATCTGTATGTTTGCACATATATGCAAAGTCATTATGTATAAATGAATTTTCGTATTTCGTCTAGGGATGATGAAATGGATGGTGAGTGGGAAGCTCCACTGATCACCAACCCCAAATGTGTTGATGCACCAGGCTGTGGAGAGTGGAAGCCTCCCATGGTGGATAATCCTGAGTTCAAGGGCAAATGGCGTCCACCAATGATTGACAATCCTAATTACCGTGGAAAATGGAAGCCGCGAAAGATCCCCAACCCTGACTTCTTTGAAGACCTGGAACCTTTCAAGATGACTGCTATTGTAAGAAATTACATATCCTAAACAATCATGAAACTGATTTCTTTAAAATATTTTCTTGTCTTATTTGTGATATTAGATTTTCTCAGGTTTATTGCCGAGGGAATGAAAGATCATAATATTTTTAGCTTTGGTTATGTAAAATGAATATGAATGTAAGTGGAGTGAAATTATGCTCTATTTGTTTGCGCTATTAAAGTATTTTCTTCCACAGGATGCTGTTGGTCTGGAATTGTGGTCTATGTCAGACAATATCCTCTTTGACAACATACTTGTCACAGACAATGTTGCTGAGGCTTATCAGTTTGCCCAAGAAACTTTCGACTTGAAGGTCATGAAGATAGAGAAGGGACAGGTATGTTGTGTGCAAGGGAGACATGGCCTAACTCTCATATTTTTGTGTGAAATTACTTATGTTTTGCAGAGATTGAATGAATGTGAAAGCATTATTTTCTTTCCTTCTATATCTTTTTTTTTTTTTTTTTTTTACAGGCCATTGATATATAATGTTTTTAAATTGTATTTCAGGTAACAAGAACTGGTAATCAGTCATCATATTCTCCTGACTATTTTTTCCTTTATTAGTGTATGATTGTTTGATATATCTCCACTTTTTCTGATATACTTATGGTTAAAATACATTTTAGTTATTAAAAAATTCTCCCCTTTTGTGGACAGTGGGGATATACATTCAAGCGCTGGGGTCGCTGGATGAACACTACTCCATGGTTCTGGCCTGCATATGGTCTTTACTGTGCCTCCCCAATCCTAGCTTTCTTAGTATATTTGATATGGTGGGTCCAGCAACCTCAGGAGACAGAGGAGGTTAGAGAAAGTATATAATAAATTGACAATATTTAAATCCCTTGGAACACCTGCTGAACTTGGTGGTCTACCAATAAGAATCTAGTTAACAAAAATATGCACATTTTGTTTTGATATCTGCACATGCCTCGCCTGTATCTAGTTTTCTTGAAACTGACCTTATTTATTATAACATTCTAACCAGTTGTTTGTAAGGTAAATTATGTTCTTTTTCTTAGGTTATGAAATGAGAGGATCTGCTGCATATTAAGGACAACATGTATGGGAAAGAATGATATTGTAGAAAATACAGGCATACATAACCTTTTAACTGATGAGCATACCTATAGCCATCATGACATAAAGGCGTATAATGTATATACATGTCAGGACTTGCTCTAGCAAGCAAGTGGATGGCCTGGCTGTACACAGTACATGCCTAGCCAGAAAGGACTGACTGTTGCATAATGATTACGTTACAGAAAATACTGACTCTGTCATGGTAGTGTTAATTGGATGTGTAAGACAATTAACCTATTACCGCCGGTATATTTTGAAGCTGATAATCAAAGATTCCGAGAGGCTACAAAATTGGCGCGCGTGGCTGGCTTGGACTCAGCCCGCTCGCCAGTTGCGGCCTGCTGCTGAATCGGAGCGCAAGCCCTGATACAGCGTCACATAGGCGGGGCGCCTGGTAATGTTTATTTTTTCGGGTGTCTCATATGTGGGACACCTGTCATTACTGGGTTAACCACTAGCCGCCAGGTGGCATTTACGTAAATGCCATGGCTGTTGTGGACTGTAAAATGGATGGCATTGTATCATGACCATTCCTGCACCATTGGCTCATCGGACGGAGTTTGTTTTTCTCTGATAGTAGCAGCTTCATTTATATGGTAAAGATTTTAGACAATAGCACCTTCAAAA